AAAAAAGCCGGAAGTGGTGCTGTGGCTCAAGTGGTAGAGTGCTAGCCTTGAGCTGAAGAGCTGAGGGACAGCGCCCAGGCCCAGAGTTCAGGCCCTGCGACCGGACCCCCCCCCCAAAAAAAAATCATTGCTTTGTCCCAGATTATAATCTATATTTGCTATGTTATTGGCATTCTCTGTATTATTTGCCTACTTGCTGTGGAAATTTCATTTTTTTTAGCATGTAAAATATGTTTTATTGTTCTTTAAAAGGGCTCGTGGTTTGGTTTTAATCAGGCTGTACACCTCTCATCAGTTTGATACCTCTTCCCATGTCAGACTGGCTTCAGCTAGCAATACTTCATTAAATCCAAAACAACAACAAAAAGTTTTAATTTTGAGAGAAAGCAATTCCAGTTCTGAGAACATTAGTTTGTAATTTAAAACAAAATCAGGGCAAATGTTTCATGTTCCTTTATACACCCTCTCACACAGAACCAGGAATGTAATTCTCCTTAGGCAGGTACTAACACTGATGGGCATAGTCAATAAAATTTACTACAGTATGTCAACTGAAAAGGTTTTTTGATGGTATTGATCAAAACTCTTAGAATCAACAGCCTTTATCTACACTTAGAAAGGTATGATGTTCTGATCTTGAGTAGTCTATATTATCTGTTGTCATGTTCAAAAATAAAAGAATTTCAGTTAATACTATCTTTTTTTTAACTTTAAAGTTCTAGAATGAATGGCAAAAGTCATTATTTTTTTCTTCTGGCATGAAGAAGGAGAAAATATACATTTGCACTTAAAAATAAAAACTCTGTCAGTAGGAAAGCGGCAGTTTACATAGCCAGCCAACATGTGAGATATCATCAGTGTGAGATGAGGTCCCAGTTCATTCCTACTGGCCTACCTGATGCTACAAAATGAGAAGCTTATAGCTTGGCACAGCAAATTCCCATAGGACATGATGACTCTAAGCCTGGATTCAGAGCCTTAGAAGCAGGGCAGTACTAATCTGAAATTTAATTCTTACATGTAAAATAGAGTAAGAGCCCCCAGTGAAGTCCTTCCACGCCCTTTGTCATTGTAGCCTGGTTGTAACTGCCTTCTACAAATGAAAAAGTGTTGAATCCAGAGGAGAATCTGTAAACATGCCACCATACCACCTCCCAAGCAACACAGTCCCTTTGCTATTGATCTGGGCTGCTTAATATTGCTTGCTTATGCTGCCTGGTACAGCCTGTGGACACACATTCATTAGGCATCGCTAACTCCAAACTGGTGATTTTTTTTTTCCTTATCTCAGAAAGAACCTAGTAAGAAAATAACAAGGCAATCAGTGGCTAAGCTGAACTGTACATATAGGGAGCAGTTTCTCAAGACCAAAATACGGTGAATTTGCTGTTGCTCCTTTGTTTCTTGGAAATCTAGGGTACAAATAAGTCCTAAAATAATAAGAAACTATAAGTAAGTATTCTGACAGAAAAGTCCGAATAGAGCTATAGCCCTCAACTCTTCAGTGTACCACTGTTCTAATTCTCTGCCTGGACACATCTTTAGTAATGGCCTGAGTTGTCTTCTTCAGCAAACAAGCTTTCTGGGATACCCATTTAGCTTCAATGGATGAGCAAGATTTCTACTTTCAGCTAAGTTGTACGAGCATACTCCTTCAAATGCCATTTCCCAGTAATTTACAAAAACAAAAGGCTCCTGGCTACTTTGCCTAATATTAGATTGGAGCTTTGAAGAAAAGAAACTGAACACCCCATCATCAGTAAACACTAAAAACCACCTGCATCACACACAGACACACACACAGACACACACACGCACAACTGTTCTTTTTTTTCCAGGTACTTTGGAAGTTGCATTTGTCCATTTCATGTATGCTAAATTCTTGCTTATCCTTGGGTCTACTTTTGGACTCATCATTTTTGTTAGTCTGGCAATCTTCCTCCTCCCCACCCCTAAATAGCTATACATCAAGCAAACTTGGATGTATCATAAATATCTTAAATAGAACTAAAAAAGAAGTAACAATGCTTATTTTATCTTTCTTTTGGGGTAATGGGGTTTTGAACTCAGGGTCTTGTGCTTAACTAAATAACCATTTGAGCCACATTCCTATCTTAAAGTTTTGGGGGCAGTACTGCAGTTACAGTTGAGAGCCTTGAACAATTTCTGACACTGGGTAATGGATACGTGAAAGGTTTATTACCTAATTCTATAATAGAAAAGAGGAAAATTTTAAAGGAAAATTAGTTCTTTAATTTATTAATTGGGAGAGAAATTTTTTCTGCATATATATGTAGATGCATATAATGGAATAATAGAAGATTAGTATACTGTATGTTTTTTAAAACCTTCCAACAGATTTCTTGCAAGTAAGCAAGGTAAAAAGATAATCCAGTAAAAAAATAAAATGAGTAAAAATAAAAATGAGTAAGCATTTAATGGAAGAAAAAGTATAAATAACAGGAAAACATGAAAAGCATGACCTCAGTAGTACTTTGGGAGAGGCTAGTCAAATAATAATAATAGAATTTTAATCCCTCTTGCTTAGAAAAAAGTTATGATGGTCAGTATCAGGGGAATTGAGTACTTTCCTATGATGTTGATGAGAAAATAAGTGATACATCCCTTTCTACTAAAAAAAAAAAGAAAACAAGGAAATTTGATACATACCAATTAAAATAATTTGTTTTACTAGTTATTATATTTCTCATTATCTATCCTAGAAAACACATTTACAAAAAACATTCAGTGACATATTCTTTGTTGTATTACAGGTGATGACTTAAAATTTTCAAACTTAAAGTGTTCATTATCGAATGAATGGGTGCTATAGTGTATACTGTTAAAAATGTTTAAATTGATAGCTATGTATTTTATGATTTGATAAATTGTGAGTTGTTAACTATTAAGTGTATATGTTACCTTTTCAATAGGAAGTACAGTTTTGTGTTGACATTCATGTATAATACATTGAAAATGGTTTCCAGTAATTGGTTGGAAATGAGAATTGCTTTTATGGCAGGCTTACATTATCTATTTTTTATTTAAAAAATTCTTAAACTACAGTTGTCTGTCTTGGGAGTGATCTATACTGTTTTCTAAATTTAAATTTTTTTGTCATTTTACTTTTCTATTTATATTTACTGTAAAAAAAAAGCCAATATCTATTATTTTCTGTAGAACTTTGAAAAAAATCATTTGGGGTAAAATTTTGTAGTTTTCATTATTTACTAGTTATTTACTGTAGCCTTAAGCTAAAGCATATTTAGAGTTTTTGTGCATTAATGAAAGAACTTTTATAAACAAATCTTAAGCTTTTCAAATATCTCTTATTCTGTCACATGGGACTGGTGGATCTATTTCCATGGTAACAAGCTGTAATTTAAACTCAGCCTTGGGCTTTGGGCATTTCTTTGTGATTGCTTTTATAACTGTCATAACATTAGCTATTTTGCACTGCTTCAGATTAGTGGATAAAATTGAGCAGATTTTATAGGTCAGAATGTAATGGACGTTGAAGTATCCGATGTGAAGAAGGTACTTTTTCTTCTTATTTTCTTTTACATGTAAAATTTGCATGATTTGTACTGAAAAGGTCATTTGGCTTTCAGACTAATAACAAAAGGTAAACTGATTTGTTTTATGTGTCCTGAGTAGTAATGGTGATGTTTTAATCTTTTTTGAAAATGAGTATATTTCAACTTTAAAAGATTGACCTCTTATTTGTAAATAGCGTGATGAAATACATAATATTGAAAGTTTTCTTTTTAAATTTAATTTTCCTTCCTTTTTTTTTTAATAGAGTCTAGTGCTGGCAGAAAATAGTCCTGGAAAGGATAGTACTGAATATATTATTATTTTTGAGCCTCGGTTATCACCTTTAACAAGAACATTAGAGCCATATATACTACCATTTATGTTTTATAACGGTAAGTTTTACAGTGGCAAATTTCTAAAGTCCATTATTAAATCCCATTTGTAATGGTAGCTTCAATTAGTTAGTTTTGCTTTCTGTTAACATGACGCCGTATTTTGGTAAAGTCACAGTTTTTAAGTTAACATTATTTGAATTTTTTTTCTTAGATGTTAAGAAGCAGCAACAAATGGCAGCACTTACAAAAGAAAAGGACCAGTTATCTAAATCTATTATTATGTATAGAAGTCTATTTGAAGCAAGCAAACAGCTTCTTGATGAAATGAAATGTAAGTCATTTTGTTTTCAGAAGCAGTAAAAAGTTATGCTTTGGGAAATGATCATGCAGGTGGTAGAAACTGTGAGACTTATCTTGTGTCTATTTTCATTGTACTGTAAGTAAAATGAAGAAAACTGGCTTTTTTTCTTTTAAACTCAGAACCAGGCTGCTTGGCAGGCTTGTTTTGCTAATGCTCCTCTACCACTTGATATATGCTTCCAGCCTAAGCTAACTTTCAAATCTTGAACCTTGATCTCAGCCTCTTGAGTATAGCTAAGATTCACAAGCATAACCTGCTATATTGCTTTTTAGCTGTTTTTAAGATAAAATGTCTGTGTATCTTGCCACCAATTGTAAAATTTTGGGGTTTTTTATTAGAAGTCTCAATATGACACAAATTTAAGGTTTCTCACATATTCATGGTATTTGTGCCTAGTGCCTACATTATACCTAGCCTTACATTATTACATAGAGTAATGAGTAAATTCATATTTAGCTTGAGTCATAAACTTTATGTACTCTAGGGGTGTATGGGGCCATAAGCAGTAAAACTGAAAAATATATCACTTATTCTTAAGTCAGTCCAGAATGTTTGCTTCGTTTTTAAGTGATAAAATTAAAACAAGGCATTGACTGTATTTGCTTTATCACTTTGTCTGTTTACATTTTAACTTGTGTTTTTATGTTGTATACTAGTTATATAGTTAAATAATGTTATATACTTAATATTTTCATCAGCTAACCAACATACATTCATTGCCTGCCACACATTTTTAGATATCTATATGCAACATCAGAGATCTTGTAGACATTAAGTTAGGTAATAGCATATCATTTGCATAGCACTGTTTTTATTGTATTAATTGGTTCTGATACTATCCATGTATAGTTATTTGTAAATCATTTGTGGCATAGGATGTGATATTCCTTTTAGCCACGTTAATTTTATTTTTCCTTTTTATACAGTAGAATTGAACATTAATATTTATAATTTAATCTTGAGTTTCTAAAGTAAGTGCCTGTCAATTTTCATTTTGCCATCGAAACATTAAGTAGAAAATTAAAAATTGAATTTTTTTTAAAGCTAAATTTTGAGGATTTTTAAAAATTGAATATTTTTGTTTTCAATTTTAGGCCAAGTGGAAGAAGCAAAATTAAAGGAGTCCCAGTTGCGAAATGAGTTGAAAACATATAATATTGATATTCCTACAACACAACAGGTATAGCTTACAAAGTATACATTAAATGTTATTTTAGTTTTTATTTTTGGCACAGCTAGTTGTTTGAACTCTTTGTCTCTTGTTTGTCAGACAGGCTCTGTACCACTACTTCAGCCCTATTTGCATTGGTTTTTTTGTTGTTGTTTTGTCTTGTTTTTAGTGATAGTCTTGTTTCTTACCCATGAGCATGTTTGGACCTTAGTCTGTCTTTATGCTTCCGGTCCTCACTGAGATGAAAGGCACTATTTCATGTGTTTGAAAACTTCCTGTAGTTTCTTTTGTTGTTGATTTGTATTTATATTCCATTGTGGTCTTATAGAATAGAGGGGGTTATCCCAGTTTTCTTACATTTATTGAGACTCACTTTGGGTCCGGCTTTAACTCTGGGCCTGGGCGCTGTCCCTCAGCTCTTCAGCTCAAGGCTAGCACTCTACCACTTGAGCCACAGCGCCACTTCCAGCTTTTTTTTTTTTTTTTTC